AGTTTTTATAAGCGCAAACGTAATTCAGTTATCTTTAAGATAACAAACACTTGTGTGATAACTATAATGGCGGATGTGAAATATAATATGAATCAGATTCGTTGAATTAATTAATATTTGTAGAAATTGTACAGGATGATATTTATTCTATGGCGCACGTTACAATGATATCTCGATACATGATCTTAATTAGTTTTCGATTGAAGCGCTCCCCGGGTCAGGATTTTTGTATTCTCCGTTAGGATACACCTCAATATTAATTGCAAAACTTTGTATTTTATCGACTATCATATTGATATTCTTAAGTAAATAATAAATCATATTTAAATTAAAAAAAACATAAAATATTTTTGTTCGTTTATTCTTTGTACGCTGTACTTAATCTTTGACGTTCTGATTATGAAATTGTCTATGGTTGGACTTTAGACATAAAACGTCAATCTTTGATAGCGATATGTGACAGATGATTGGTGACATTTTCAAATATTAGTCGATCGTATAAATGATATTTATATTTAAAAAGAAAAGGAATTTGGACAGAAACTTCTTATTATGATATAAGTAACACTAGAAAATGTGTATATACAGTAAAAGTTGTTAATTCTTTGGGTTTGTTGGTGAACCAAGACTTAGAATGTTTGTTTCCCTTTTTAATATTTCTGAAAAGTTTTTACCGCGTTACATCACGTATTTAATATCTCAAAAAAAGATTGTTTTACCATTGTTAAAACTTCGACACTCGGTATGTAATTCTAAGAGCATTTTAAATTATTCTGGTAAATGTAAAAACAGTTCTAACCCTAAAACGTTATTTTTATGTTTGATTCATAATGAATAAAAGATGATTTTTCCATAGCTATGAAAAAATATTACTATTTAATTGCTATAATAATAATAAAAAAAATCAATAATTTGAAATGTAGTGTAATAAATAAAAATAAATTAGAATTATAAGGTATTCATAAATTTTGCAGGTGTTTGGTTTAGGCAACAAGACATATGAGCATTACAATAAAGTGGCCATATTTCTTGACAAGCGACTTGAAGAACTCGGTGGTAACAGAGTGTTTGAACTTGGACTAGGTGATGATGATGCAAAGTAAGTATTGTTTTATGTAAGTTCATGGTTTTAATTAACTACAGCTGGTATTTCCATAAAAGATAACTAATCCAAACCATGAAACAAAGCAAACTATTCACCATTTATTAAGCTATAAATTGCATTGCTAAAAGTGCATATAAAACCATTATTTACTTTTATAGATATAAATCTATAATTTCGGATTTCTTTGACACACAATTAATTATTTTGATACAATTCTAGCATTGAAGATGACTTCATCACTTGGAAAGAAAAGTTTTGGCCTGCGGTCTGTGAGAAGTTCAACATTCAGAGCACAGGGGAAGAAGAGCTGACAAGGCAGTTCCGTTTGGTGGCACATCAACCCGATGAGTTCACACCCAATCAAATATTCAAGGGTGAAATTGCTAGACTGCATTCACTACAAGTACAGAAACCGTAAGTTATTTACAATATTTTGTTTTGTAAATTAATAGACTGTAACCAATATACTTAGTTGAAATATTTACTTTACAGACCTTATGATGCCAAGAATCCATTCTTAGCACAAATCATTGTCAACAAAGAACTGCACAAAGGTGGTGGCAGGTCATGTCTTCATGTGGAACTTGACATTTCAAATTCGAAAATGCGATATGATGCTGGTAAGAAATGAATTAAAATAGCATAAATTTTTTAAAGACAGAAAACATTTGGTTAAGTTCAATAATAATAGCTTACTCAAACTTTTTAGTGGAAACATGACCTAAGGAAGATGACAAAGACAATGCCAATTATTATATGAACTTTTATAAATAGCAATATAATGATCCAGCATTGTTAATTTTTTCTTAACAATTCCTTTACAACTTTAAACTTAATTGGTATATAGTACTAAAATCTAGGCAATATAAGGAGTTTGAAAGGCTAATTGTGCTTAGAATTCCCATTTTTAGGAAGATTTTGTGTATATTTATTATTTATAATTTGTATCATTTTGCCTTCCAGGTGACCATGTGGCAATCTACCCAATCAATGACATTGATTTAGTCAACCGTCTTGGTGATTTGACTGGTACAAATCTTGATGAAATCTTTTCACTGATCAACACTGACGAAGAGAGCAGTAAAAAGAATCCTTTCCCTTGTCCAACATCATATCGAACAGCTCTTTCTCATTATGTAGAAATCACAGCTTTACCTCGTACTCATGTTCTTAGAGAACTTGCCGAGTACTGTACCAATGAGGAGGTTAGTAATCCACATAGACTATAAAATCTTTTCAGAATAATGTTTTGAATGTAATTTGCTTAAAATTTAAACTAACACAAATATATATTTTACATCTGTGTTAATCTTCTGTTAGGTCACAAAAATTGAAATGTTTATCAAAATTTCCTCATTAAGAAAAGGCTTTACTACTAACAGAAACTTTAGGATCTTTCTTTTATCAATGAAATAACTATCAACCTTTTTTAATCTATGGGGATTATAATGTAACCAAAATTAATATTATTACACTGAAGCAAGTAACCTATGAGCATTATTAAGATTTAATTTCATTTATTTATTTAATGTGAATAAAATTTTAGGACAAGAACAAACTTTTGCTCATGTCAACTAATTCGCAAGAAGGCAAGGCTTTGTATCAAAGTTTCGTAGTGGATGCGTGCAGGAACATTGTGCACATCTTGGAAGATCTAAAGTCTTGCAAGCCAACACTGGACCACCTCTGTGAACTGCTGCCTCGTCTCCAGCCGAGATACTACTCAATATCCTCCAGCCCTAAGGTATTCCACTAAATTGTAATATTTATAAGTACTCTTTATGCAGTCAAAATTTTTTTAACAAAAATGAATTTCAAAATTTGTATTGTTTAGAATCTTTTTTTTGTCTGCCTATCTTATGTTTCATATTTATGTATAATAAAAAAAAATTATATTTTTTATCTAATAAAATCTTACAAAGTAGATGCAATATAGTAAAGACACTTATGCAACTCATTTAAAATTAACATAAGTTTTATGTTAATGAGTATTCATAAATTATCCCTCAATAACGGAATAATATTTGCCTTGTTAGTATTTGAATATTAGATTTGTGTTAGTGATTACTTCAAGTCCATTAAAAAGTTAAAATACAAAAAATAAAGTGTCGTGTTTAAACAATAATAATGTTTCAGCTGTATCCTGAGACTGTGCACATAACAGCTGTGGTTGTGGAGTACAAGACACCCACAGGCCGCACCAACAAGGGTGTGGCCACCACCTGGTTAGCTCAGCACAAGCCCGAGGAGGGCAAACCATTCCCAAGAGTTCCTGTCTACATCAGAAAATCTCAATTCAGGTATAGTATTTTTGAAATATATTGGTGGCTCTTAACATTGCATGAGTCAAAGGGATGCTGGGAAGGGCACTACACAGCTTAAACTCAAATGTTAAGTTTGAAAAGACTTGAATAAATTACATTTCTTGTTATTAAACATTAGCTTCCCTGTTTTATTAATATTTTGTTTGATTTCAGATTGCCATTGCAAACGCAAACTCCGATAGTGATGGTGGGTCCAGGCACAGGGCTGGCGCCCTTCCGCGGCTTCTTGCAGGATCGCGCCCACGCCCGTGCCAGTGGAAAAGAAGTTGGCACTACTGTTCTTTACTTTGGCTGCAGGCACCGGGATCAAGATTACATTTACCAAGAGGTAAATTTCATACAAATTTTTGTAATTGTATATTAATTAATTGTATAACTTACTTCGAATGCATCAAATTACAGGAGCTCGAAGAATATGAAAGGAATGGCGATGTAAAGCTGAATGTAGCTTTCTCACGAGACCAAGAGAAGAAAGTGTATGTGACTCATCTCCTCGAAAAGAATATGGAAGAACTTTGGGATATAATAGGCAATCGAAATGGGCACTTCTACATCTGCGGGTATGTAAATTTGAATTTCATATATATATTACAATTATATTAGTATAAATGATTAATTTGGACGTAATGATAATTGTTTTGAATACAGGGATGCTAAATACATGGCTGTGGATGTTCGTAACATCGTGCTGAGAGCGATACAGGAGGTGGGAGGAAAAACCGAGGAGGACGCAATACAATTCTTGAAGAAACTGGAGTCTATGAAGAAATATTCGTCTGATGTATGGAGTTAAGGCAGAGGCCTCATTCGTTAGTTAAATTTATCTACTTAAGGACATTATCCAAATAATACATATTAGAATATGTAAAATATGACAGCTACAAGCAGTAATTGTAATGACATACTTTATCAAAGTACGATTTATATTTTTTTAAATGTTTATAATTGTACAAATTTTTTAAAATAAATTTTATAAAAAGACGTACAAAAAATGATAATATAATTTTTATTCAATTTGACATGAAGTGAAATTTATCATTATAAATGTAATTTAATATTGTAATTGACGAGGTCCTGAAAGGAATAACATTGTGTTAACAAGTTAATCGTGATTGTTATTGTTGTGTACATTTTCAGAGTTGTTAGTATGTTCTATTTAAGTGGACTGGGAATTAGACTAAGAAAATGAGGATATTCTAATTTTTTTATATTATCTATCTCAATAAACCATTTCATGTAATGTTTTGCGTTTGATTTTATACATTAAAAGGTACTAAATAAGTTATTGATGCTTAGCCAGTCTGTCAAGAAAACATTGGTGAATGAAAGACCTATTCCAACCCACTCTTTCATTCTTGCGTTTGCCGTAAAGTCATTTAACTTACCCTTTTGTGGCTTCTGTTGCTACCAAAGCCAATAATATCTTTGGTCGTTATACATTAAAAATAGGGACACCTTTATAACATAGAATAAGTCAAAAGGGACACAATGCTGGTTAGACAGATGTGAATCGTACAGAATTGATGGCTGGGATTTCAGTAGGAATTTCTGTGTTAAATAATTAAACTGAATTGTTAAAACGATAATTTATTTAACCGCAAATATATTAGTATATGTACAATCGACGTCAACAAAATGCAAAAGGAGAGCGGGTATTCAGTGAACCAACTGATTACGCGTACAACTACGGCCATGGAAATCAATGTTGGTGGACTTGATTATAAATAAACAAAAAAAACCATATAGCTTCTCAAAAATACCTACAAAACTACAAAATTTATCTTAAGCTAAGTGTAACTTTAAAGTACACTACATTATCATAAATCTCTATGAAAAGAACACCTAACCTTTCAAAATACTGAATTTCAAACTAATTAAAAAACTGAAATATCAAAACTGTTTACTACTTATTACTTAATATTATTTACATTAAGTCAGGAATATCGAAATGCTCATTATAACTAAATTTGCTCAAAGATTGTCAATGCATTACCATTGTCATTGTAGATCATCAAAGCTATTACGTTTCTTTGAAAATTTCAACTTGGTAATAATTTATTAAAGTGATGTAACAATTTTAAAGAGCAAAGAGTAACAAGTTCTAGAATTCTAATTCATAACAATTTTCAAAGGTAGTAGAGGATGGATTAAATTGATGAAGACATGAAAATCTTTGTCAAATTCGTATCAGACAACTACAACCAGCCAGCGGATCTTCCATACAAGCGAAATTACATTTCAGAGACAAGTTAATACAGAATCAATTGACAGTCAAAATATATATTTCATTTTATCTCAAAATATATCACCAAATATTATACTTTAAATTGTTAAGTTTCTCACTTATTGTTATTTCGAAATGTATTCAAGCAGTCATTACACAAGTCAAAAATGATTCGTCATTGATTTTGTATGTATGGAAGTACCGCCGCTTAATTTTACACACTTTAAACTACATTTTCACTACAGCAAACACGCAACATTATACTTCTACTTTCTTATTTTACATAGGTATTATACAAATAATCTACAATAACTATATTTATTATAACAGTCGATTATACGTAACACATTTATTTACTGTAATTTTCAACAGAATGTGGCATGTATTTAGCGTTTTAATTTGTTATTATATTAAGGCTGCAGTAACGGATATCTGTTTCAAAGGCACAATTTAAGCAGTCTTAAAGCACTTGGTAAATATACAATTAAAATTGAATCAATGTTCAGAATTGAATCATTCTCTTCACGAATGTCTTCAACATTTGACTTTAGTAGCAGTATTCGGGGCAGTATTACAATGAGCATCCTGACCGTTCAGAAATCATCAGAAAATAAGTAAAACATTTGTTTAAATTTAAGAACCAATTTGTGATTTAAAATTAACTTACGTATCCTAAAATAACATTATTGCAAATTATACTTGAGTTTAGATGAACAAGCCGCGATAAAGAATTTTCAAAACCTTATAATAAAGAATATTGTAGCATCTGAATGCTTTAAAACTAGTAAAATTAAAACTGAAACAAGTTGACATGTAAAATAAGTATATTTTGTTACAAGTCGTGTCAAAACACAACCAATATTACCAGTCGTAAAAAAAAATTAAATAATTTAAACATAATCCTGTTGATGTTTAAATCGAGGAACGTGCGAGACTAATAGTATGACACAACTCACATTGCGAAACTGCGTTTCTTAAGATATTAGAGGACAATGGGTCTGTTGAAGTACATTGACCGAAATGCAAGCGGCGCTCACGAGTCCGGCGGGATGTCCCACTCCGCCAGCCCGCGCTCCACCAGCTCTCTGTTCAAGAATATTACTTGCTGCAACAAAATACAACATTATTACATTAATATGAGTCATTTCAATCTTCGGGACGTCTCAAGGTCATCTGAATACTGCACAGTGCCCTCCTCCCGCATCCATTAACGCTCTACTACACCTAATATTATGTTCTGCGCAGAATTGCACCAAAATGTTTGAAAACTTTAAAAGTATTGTCTAGCAACTTAACTGTTAAGATATTTTGGTTATGGGGATATTATAAAAAGGAAAAACAAAATATAAAGATATTAATGAAAGATTACCGAGATTACTGGGTGGACGCGATAGGAGATATTAGGAAGTAAAGAGTGACTGAGACAGTTACGAGGATCAAATGGAAGATATACCTGTGGGTTGAGTGTAAGGTAGAGATGCACAAGAGGAAGACCGGCCTCGTCGTAGCCGGCGACCTGCGCGTGCAGCAGCTGCCCCGCCGTCAGACCCGCCATTATGCGCAGCGCCTCGCTGCTCCAATCTTCTTCTGCACATATTTATTATAATTAAGTGTAGAATCAAATCAAAAATATAATTTTACTTATAAGACAGTTTTACATATGTTCAGAGATAATTTAAATAATCCAATAATTGTGAGTTGAAATAGTGTTTTTATAGTTAACCTAATGAATACCATTTTTGATTACTTTTGATTGTGTTTGCTAATGCAATGCAAAGAATAAAGTAAGGCCGTTAGAGCTACTGCATCATCATCGTCACCAGGCTTTGGCCGTTTCCCCCTTGCCCCTTCACAATTGCTTCCACAGTACTTCTTACAACACAAATATTATTGACAAGCACATAATTTTAGACTACATGCTAAAGCCTAAGAAAATGAATTTGTTTAATTAGTGCATAAGAAAATTGTAAGAAATTAGGGGTATTTTTTTTTACTTAACATAAAAAGAAAGGTGATCAAAAATTATCGTAATATAAAATTCAAACTGATCGTAAACATCACGCTTTTAGAATAAAAGTAGTATGAGACCATTCTAAATTATCACGAAGTTTTTTTTTTATTATTGAATCGGCCATTAAATTTAAAAACGCTTTCAATGATTCATACACATTTTATATAATCTTTAAAAAACAAATTTTTGTAAGGTAAATGAAACTTGTGTAAACATAAATCATGTTAAGATAAGATAAATTTAAATCATATGATATCTGCAACAAACTAGGTTATATAAAAACAACAAAGGAAGTAATATAGACATTAAGTCGTGAGAACAAAGCTAATTAAAATTTACGACTAAGGTCATAGGACTCTAAGGACTAAGATCCTTCAAAACAAAGCATACTCCTCCATATAGGGCATCTGTTTTAAGGGGGGTTGGTCATGGGTTTCAGATTGACCTACTACTTGTTGCTCATTTGCCTTCTCCTATAAAAAAGAAGATTATTGTTGATACTAACCATTGTTGGCAGGTTTGACAAATGCTAAAAGTGCTTCTGTAGCCTGGAAAGGCAGAGTCATGAAGTCTGAACGTATCTGCTTGAGCTGGTCATTGTCAACGGTGAGATAACCTCCAAAGTCAACCAGCTTCACCACAGATGTGTCGTTTTCCTCCGACGTGGATATAACTTGTGCGCGATACCAGTTGTTCTCTGTAGGTGCTGCGCAGATTGAACCCTCTGTGGATTGAATTAACTTATTAGGCTTTTTATGTTGATTTCTAACTAATAATTCAGACTGTTTTTTATTAATCAGCTAAGTTAATAAAGAGGTTATCTAGGTATAGTAAGGATTATTTATTGATTAGCCAAAGATTTCTGTGAAAACGGAAATATCTAAGTATATTCTTTAGGTGTAATGAACAAAATCTAATTACAGAAAAGTGATATTTTAATTTTGTTATAAACACAATATTTACCTACATTTTTTTATTTTAAACAAAGCCTGCTTTTAAATGACTCTTATTAAATTTTTACTATTTTAAACCGATGTTTATTGCATTTATAAATTATACTTACTTTCTATTATTACATTATTGTATAACTAAAAGATAAAAAGTTGTGATAAAGCTATTACGTTTTCAATTTGTAATATTTCATAACATAAAAATATGTTAAAATCTATGTTATATTCAAATAGTTTTTAAACTATTTGGTTTAATTAATATTTAAGGCAAAAACTGTAACAAATCGAAATAAAGTTAAAAAATTTAAAAGCTTGACAAAAAATAAAAAAAGACATAAATCGTAAATCGCGCAATGAATATTCAGACAGCAAATATGCATACGAACAGTTCACACAATTACATAACTGTACGAATTAAAGTGGTCTCAAATGTCAAGGGCAGGGTAGGGTACCTTTCACTGGGCGCGGCAGGGAGGGCACGTCCGGGTTTTGATAAGTGGCCGCCATGAGGCGGTGCAACGCGTGCAGCGAAGGGAAGGTCGGGTGCAGCGGCTGTTGCAGGAAGAAGTGCCCCGCACTCACCAGGCAGGTCATTATTGTGTCATTGTTCACAGATTCCACAAGCTGCAACTGTTAAATGTACATATACATCTTAATCATTGTTTAAATTAAAAAATAATATGTCAATCATTTTGTTGAGTAAAGAAAAAATATTTTAGAAATAAAACTCAGATAAAAACTTTGTATAAAAAGAATAATTTTTGTTTAAGATAAAAACCTTGTCTGTGTTCTTGAAGCACTACTATAGTGCAAAGTTGCAAAGAGGTGATAAAATTTATGATTATGCTATTTTTTAGCAAATTTAGTTTATCAATTCATACCATTTCTTACCTTATACTAAAGTGCCAAGACAGACATGCATCACAAAACAGTGTGTATATGTAACTTTTCTATTGAATCTATGTATATTAGTACATATAAATACATAACTAGGTTAAAATAATCTAGTATAAATAAATAAAAGATTTTTTGGTGTCAAGGCAATATATTAATGTAATATTTAGAGTCACTATATTAGCATAAATATATAATAAAATAGCATAACTTACTTGAAGAAATTCTGGTATAAAAGGTGCTAATCTTTGATATAGTTCTGGACTAATTTCTTGAATTGAAAAATTGGGGAATCTCTTTTCTGGGAATTTTTCTTTTATCATATCTATAGCTGCCTCAATTTCACTTTGAGTCCCTAAAAAAGTAAATAATAGCATTTAGAAATTACAAATTTAATGTTTATAAAATTAATCATAAAGAATCAGTGTTACCTTCTACTGCACAAATTTTCTGTTTAACGGAATCTGGATGTCTTCTTACGTAAACACTTGCCCCAGTTTTAGCTTTAATTTGGTTAACAAATGATCCGTGTTTGCCTATTAATAGACCGACCAAATTTTGAGGTATTACAAATTGATGTATTCTAAGGCCGGAATCCGAAGGTACCATATTTAAATTGGCTGGAGGTGGACTAGCTGCTTCTGAACATCCTTTACCGCTATCACTTGATCCCTAAAATATAATAACCAATGATGAAACAAGAAAAATTTACTGAATATAAAAATTTTTAATTTTTTACAAACCTCGCTGTGGCTATCCGAAAAGTGACACATTGAAGGACTGGCTAACAAAGGATCTACGGGACTATGATTTGCTGAATCCCTCTCAGAAATTCTTCTATTCTGTGTTGAATAAGTGTTATTGCTTTCATTACTTTCACTAGGTTCATTAATATTATTATCATTTACATTATTGTTAATATTAAGATCATGGTCATTGACCATATCCCCCTCTTCAGTGGAAACATCTTCAGTTTTATTATTGTCAAAATTTGTACTATCTTGTGGCAAAATTTCTGTCACAGATTCATCTTCTGAGTGTTGTTTCTCGGTGATGGCAGCATCAGTGACACCGACTTTTGAGTCAAGTGTTTTATCACCTTTGTTGCAAGACATTTCAGTTTGAAGTGGTGAAAATTTATGTGCTATAGTTTCTTTTGCTGCAACCGGGGTTTGATTCATTGTTGAAGAAATGTATGAACAGTTCATATACTGTTTCCCTACTTCCACTGATGATTTCTTATCTTTTTCAAGAGATTTCTTTCTTATTATTTTCTCTATTTCCAAGTCAACTTCTTCATCAGTCAGTTCAAAAGAAGACCTTTGTGATCCACTACCTTTTGGAATAATGTCAATTGGAGCAGATTTAATTATTGATCGCTCAGCCTTTCCCAGAGGAGAGGTCCTATTCAACTCAGCTTGAGCATTCAATGCTTCTGCTAATTCCTCTTTTAAACTTTTTAGCCTTTCTCTTCCTCCTGGGTCAGATTTGGCATATTCTCTCTTTTTCTTTAACCAAAATATGCCGATTAACACTGCTATTGATGGCACTGACCACATAAGCAGCTGACGACAAGGTGCCATTGTAACGAGCCACTTTTACCAGAAACCTAAACATAAATAGAAAAATATTTTTATTAATTTAATGAGGCACACACATATCATAAATATAATGAATCAAATGTTACCCATATCCCAATGTCTATTTAAATCATGTGATTATGTTATTTTCCAAAGAAATAAAATAAAGTTTAAGAAACATTTTTACAAACTTAAAAACTCTTTAATAATATATTTATATAATTAATATAAATATTTAGTATTAATATAATATTTAATATAAACAAGAAAAAACAACCTGCGTTCGAAAAAATTGAGGTTAGGAATTCGGTATTTTAGAAAGTATATAGGAATAAAATAAGTAAAAGATTATAAACAACCTAAGCAAAAATATAAAACAATAAACTTTTCTAAATTAATTGATCATTGTTTGTTTTAGAAACGTTCCTTTTACTACAATAACAAAAGTCACATGTTTTTGTGAACATACAAAAATTAGGTTAATGTAGTTTATCAATAACAAAAATAGAACATGAGATAAGATTATTTTTAGAATTAAATAACAAAAAAAATAACCATTTTTAAGCACTAGGAATACAATTTATAAAAGTTAGAAAGCAACTTGCACGTTTCAGGTGTGGACTAATTAAATCTACAATCGCTACAATCACGATTAGTGCTTGACAGTTATAAGACACGTACACAGCACTTTCTCAAAGCCAATAAGAGTACTGGAAACCATGTGCTTTTGGTCTTTTCAACGTATACGTAATATGTTGTCCGGCGAGGGTCACGAGCTGTAAAACCTTCACGGACAACACGTAAGCGTACACGAAATAGTAAAATGAAAGGTTACGCAATTTTGGGAATGTCAATTCAGACTAGAATACGCTGTCAAAAAATTTATTGTCTAATTAGATAATTTATTTACTTAAAAAGAACCAAAATACAACCAAAAAATAATTTCATATAGAGGTTGGACCCGTGATCTGAATCTTAACCAGAAATATTACTTGCCGGTAGACACGTTTACTGTAAACTTACGTTGGTATCCAAATAAAAATGGTTGCACTATAAAACGCCGAATTAAAAACAAAGCAAATGACTTCACTAAATTGTATTATTAACTAAAGAATTTAGCCCAAAATTAAAATCTAACAATCCACGTGCTCACAATGTTTTCGACCGAAGCACAACAAAATCCAATATGGCGACTAAAATGCAAGTTGGCAACATTCTAAAGCACAGAAAAAATATCTTAGAAAAAAAACTGCCTTTCTTTTTCTTAAGAAGCACAGATTGACAAAAAAAAACGAACTACTTTTATAATTTCTTTACTTTAAAAAAAAATTGACTCTTAAATATACCTTTTCTTATCATTAAAAGTTCACTATTTAGTGACCCACTCAATTTCATTTCAAAATAACAAACTCTTCGCGAATACAACACCAAACGCATGATCCACAGACACACTTCTTTTAATTGTTAAAATGAATGGATTTAGAACAAAGTGTTTAAATTAATTATATGTAAAAAGCTTTATACAATTTAACATTGAAAATTTGGTTGACGAGGTTTTTATTACAAAAATTTAATTACTTACAATTACTTTTGATTGATTCATCATTACTTATGGGACGTGTGATTTTCTATTGTTTTTATTTTACACTGCACCCTTATTATTATAATCATTGATATCTTAAAAATAGAAAATATCATTTGCTATAGGTGATGGCATGTGCAGCCATTTGAACTTTGCATTTACAATTATATAAATCTTCTCTAGACCTTGGCAATCAACCAACAAAATATATTCACTCCTTATCGAAACACAAACGGTTTATATTGGGTGTCTATAAAGACGGCAAGAAAACTAAAAATTATACGTAGGTGTGCTGATACATTTTTGCAATAGTAGATATTGGGCATTATCCTGGTATATTTTAACTAGTATACAGTGTTTAGTCTACGACTATCTTTACAACCAATGTACCGTCAAAAGCCCCACACCAATTCTGGATCGTGTCGTGTTGCGGGATTTCAATCGGCATCAGGTGTCGAAATACAAGTTGACTTTGTTAATGAATTACTTCCATAGCAATTTGAATTGCAGTTCAGCTACTTAACCTAGATGGCGCTGGCGAGGGAACATGGTCTGATAGCTCGGTTCCTGAGGGCTGATCAACCATACTGTTGCTTCTAACTTCTAAGATTATTGCATTACTATTTATTGTCGACAGAAACATCACACTGATGCTGTTGATGAAGGGTATCACTTACCACCAGATGAATTATTATATTCAAACCATGATGCTTGTTATACATCATTTCCAATGCCTTTCCTTTCAAGTATACAGTCTTCCATTACTGTAAATTTTCTTTTTAACATTAGTACTTACTTCTTCGCAGATTTTTTTTGCTTGACAAAGTATTTTATTTGAAATTGGAATTAATTTTGTTTAGATTAAAAATTTAGTGGCACTATCCATTATCAGTTAGTCATATTTTTTTAATTAAGGAAGTATATTGAGATTAGAAGCAAATTAAAATAAACTTCGTCGGCATAGGATAAAAAAGTATCCTATAATATACCCGCGTGTGTGCATTAGCAACCTTCTTTTTAAAGTCCTATCAAAATAGTTCCAACCATTCCACATATTACCAGGAACTATGCGGACAGACATACAGACAAATGTTTTAATAATTGGTTTAGGTTATCAGCAACACAAATATATAAGGTCTACAATTTTTTTTCTTAATATCACATACCGACCCTCCAGTTCTAATGTAAAAATTAATTTTCTTTATTATCAAATTAACGAAGTTGTAAATAATTGTAATTTATATTGGATTTCCAAGTTTATTATTTATGTTAAATAAATATTTTATACAAAAATGAATCTGTTTTGTTTGAATGGAAAAAATGGTTCCTAATACACTTGTAGTAATGGTGGATATTAAGATGTTGCCTGAATATTGCCAATGCTGTCTTAGGAACCAAGATAAATTTTATCATACATAAAACATGTATGGCACCGCACAAGACCTATTCAGGTTTTCTCGAATTGTTGCTAATCAGCCCAAAATCCATCATTTCTGAAATTGAAACAAATATAACAATTAAGAAGATATTGAATATGCTAAAATAGTGTTTAGGAATAAAGTTTCTTTGTAGTTAATTTTGCACCGACAATAAGGGTACAACTATTGGTAGGTAGGTTCGCCTACATCTGGCATATAATTGTAAAGCCCGATGTACTTCATGGATGTCTTTTTTATCAAAAAAATTTCATATTGAACTAAGATTTATTAAGGTTTTCAAATGAATATGGGTATATTAAGTAAACAACAATTAAAATCTACAATTTACTAGTCAATATGTGTATTGTAGGCCATTTAATCATTTGTATATTTCATTTGTTCACAAATTCCTTAAAAATGTATTTACATTTTCAACAAGGTTATAAATTATAATGAGTCCAACCAGCGGATGTTTGTCTTAACAATATCTGTTCTGTTAAAATAATCAGTTCATCAAATTGAATACTTCAGTGTCACAGAAACAGTTCTCAAGCAAAGGTATGGCCAAACTAAAAATACTATACACTAAGGAATTACTTCAAGTTTTTCCACAATGTGGTATTTTGTTCCTGATGAAGCACTATTTTCTATTCCTCCAATTAATGTAGTTTTAGTGCCGTTCCTATCTTACTACAGTAAGAATTGGATGAAGCGAAACAGGACTGAACAAGCCCAAGATGATATGATAAAGAAATATCCTTCACACTAGTCACAACACATTAAATTGTTAAAGAAGCTAAGCTGAAGGGAAGCAGTCGCTGTCTATTAAATGAAATCTTTGGTCATCAGTTCATCCACAGCAGTTTCTGCTTTAATGAGAACCACTTTATAAGGTTTTTCATCTATAAAGCATTTATTTTCCAATCAAATAATAGGTTTTATGATAAAATTAAGGACTTTAAATACAAAACTTTATTAGTTAACTAAGACTAACAGAATGTCACTATTTTTGTAATATTTATAATGAATTTAAAAGTAGTCTTAAAAATTAGGAAAGTAAAGCTTTTAAAAATAAAACAAATATATTGTTACTATAATTTAATTATATACATTCCTTATTTTTATATGTTCCTCAAAGATGATCCATAAATTCAAGGAATGTTGTGCTTGGTTTGTTTTTATCTGTTGTGATAGGTGTCTGAGATGAGTAGTCTTTAGAATAAAATATACTAGAATTCTTAGATATGTTTTTGAATCATCTAAGTTTGAATATAGCGATTGTCCAAAAAAAACTAGACAATTTGCTAATATGCATAACATATTAATTTTGTGAACAAGACATTAAAGATCATATAGGCAATTTATTTTTATAACAGAAAATAAATTTACATAAACTTACGGTAGATGTATACATAAGAATGGTATTATATAGCATCTACTGCATCAGCTTCATCTTCTGAACTGACTTCGTCTCCAAACTCAATGTCTTCGTCCAGACCGTCAACAGAATAGACAACAGTCTCATTGATGCGTACTGTTTCAGGAAACTCTCCATACGTTTTCAGATTTCTTGCCTCGTCAGGAGTATATTTCAGGATGACATCTGCCTTGGCATCTTGATAATCTCGTAGGCCGATAAGTATAATATCTCCTTGGTTTATCCATACTTTTTTCCTTAATTTCCCTCGAATATGACATAGACGTTTTATGCCATCAAAGCACATGGCCTCCAAGCGGCCATTACCGAGCATCTTTGTGACTTGGGCGTACTCTTGTCCGTCTTCTTTAAAGACCAACTCACGCTTTTCAGTTTCGTTTTCATTCTTCCCCCTCCTTCTGTTTTTACCTCCTTTTCCTTTGTTTTTCGGCATTGTTTAAATTATCTTGAGTAAAAACATATACAACTATAATTACGGAAATCTAATAAATTTGCTAATGTTGATTGACAGATGCGCTTGACAATCAGTCGTGTCGCGCAACCAAAGAGTATAGAGTAAGTGGCACAGACTCAAAAATTTTCAAACGATTAAAAAACAAAGAGTTCCAGCAATACGCAGGCCAGAAACAAGAATAACTATGGAAAGTAAAAATTGCGATACTTTCTTCTTTTAATTCAATTTTGATTTAAAAAGATTGAACAGCTTAATAAGTTTTAATATAAATTTCACCTACCATTTAATAATTTCATGGATCACATTCGACATCTATACGTTTTAGATTCATAGTGAGGTAAAATAACCTACTTAAAAGCATGTATTAAAGTTAAAAATATGATACGGACTTCAGACATATGTGAATTGAATTCAGTTTTAAGGAAATATATATGTTTTTCGTTCAGTTATCTTAAACATCGCTAATGTTTACAAAGAAAAATAGTTTATTGACGTAACATTGTAAGGACGATCATGGTCATCTATACATATATATTTATAAAATTGAAATGTCTATATTTAATATTGAAAAAATCCATATTTCGCGTACATGACATATATTTGATTTATTGTAACGAAAATTCAATTTTTAAATACTTGTGTTTTGCAGGTCTTCTCCAAAACTGCTATCCCGATTTTGAGGGTACCTTAACGGGAAGGTAAGCTGGTGGATGCAGGCATATTACAAGCTATTGTTTATCTGCACTGAAGAAGTGCGAAGATATGAAACGGAAATTTTAAAAGTTATTCCCTTGTGCAGTTCAAACATAGAGCGATTTTTACATAATATAATGATATTGAAATTATACCAATTATTGCACACCATACTTTGTCCTACTCTTTTATATCTAATTTAGACTTCATATTGATATGATTAAATTATTTTTTTGTTCCAATTATGACATAGAGAAGAAAATAGAGGTATGTATAGTAAACATGGTAATGACGATACCATTCAGCGTGGTGTTGCAGGCAGTAGAGCCACTTGAAGAGACGAGAGGTCTGAGGACTCGTCTCTGATGTAGCGTTCGCCCGCACTAATTACAGCGGCGTAGTGTCTGCGCCTGATATAAGTAACAACCATGCTTTGAAGGCATACGGGTTAGTCGTTATATAACGAATCAAGCGTATGTTCATTAAAGACAGCCGCTTATATGAGCTAGCTGGCTAATAAAAGTCTGTGACATCTACTGTTTTTTAAACAGTCTTTCGTTAATCGGTACTTCGTATAGGGTACGACCATTAAGCACCCTATACAATGAATAGAATAAACGAAACCATTGGTTAAAAAGCGTTATCATAATTTAACCGTGTAAATCCTTTAAATTAGCAAGCAATTTGAACTGATATCATTGTTATGGCTTTGTCGCTGACCAACAATATTTGATTAATGTAATCTACTCCAACTTGTAGGTTTATATAATAAGTATACTTATAATAATAATTAAATCATACTACAATGAAATTAAATTGTTGTAGTAATTTAAGTATGCATCTAAAATTGGAAACGGAGGTATAAAATTTAAACCTTATAGTCATTCAACTAAGCGCCTGTAGAAAATTATTGGCAATTTTCAGCATTAAAGGTTAAAAGTAGTTGTTTGTAGATAAATGAAAAAGTGTTGGGTTGCAGTTGCAAACGGCAAGCGGCACCGAGCAGCCGGGGCGGCGGCCGGCGTGGGCGGTGCAGGGGGTGAGGCCAGACGGCGAATGAACTGCAGAAAGGGTTAATGTTCGCTTCCCCTGCACCACAGCCTGCGTTCGCCTACCTTAGTTTTTTGCCACTGAACTGCTGTATATCCAAACTTCGTGTGTGAGAAAGTCTTAAAAATGATGCTTTGTTGTCAAACGTGCTTTTTTTTCTGAATATAAGGATTAATATCGAATCTTATTTATTTAAACGATAGAACAAACACATAATTCAATTTTACATGGAAGAGTAATAAAAAAAGCGTTATTTATTTTTGATATACGAAATTAGTGGCACAATATTTACAATACAAATGTTATTAATTTACATTCAGATAAGGTTTTATACGTAGTCCATACAGAAAATTAGCTGCCGTAGAAATATATTTTTAATACTTTCGGCCTAAGCTGAGTGTGTACACCCCGCGGAATTCATTTTTGTGCAATATTATTAAATAATAATATTAAGTCTATTCCTTCGCTTCATCGACGTACGATACGTTTACAATTCTGATATCCTATAGTCACTTCTTATTTCGGTAAACAAAAACCCGACTGGCCGAGACTGTAATGGATAGCGCCACCTTTTGTATGCTTTTTAAAACAAAGACTTTAATTATTTTTTAGTAAAACTAAATAAACTCTAATTTTACATAAAATGCTTTATTATTTTAGAGTATATCGTAAAAAAGTGATTAAACGTTGCAAAAATTAATGATTAGTGATATTCGAACTTGTTTTTTACCAATTTAGAATTTTTAGAAGACGAATCGAATGACACCTCACTTAACAGTAAGCCTAACAACTTGACGTCAAATGACTTATATTAAGTATAAATTGACAAAGTGGATTAACTAATGAATTTGAGTTTACAACTTGTTAGATGTGATTTGCTTGCCTTAAATTGCTAACTGTATTATTTTGAACTAGAACTATTTTGTTCGTGAAGTTCCCTGCCTTGTCATAATTTGTAAAATGCTTATTTAAATAAAAATATCTCGTTGTGTAGATTATTAACATGGAATAGTACGTATATTTTATAATTCTCTTAGAGATAAAGTTAGAAATACAATAAAATTCTAATGAAATAAAATCTTCTATTTTTTTTTTAGTATACAATAGGTTTTATTGTGATAGAGAGAATTCAAATTACTCTTCCAAAACTTAATCTGAAGGAGTAATAGTTGCTTAGTAAAATGTACTACAAAAGTGTATATATTATATTGTGGCATAGTATAGGGTTCTCTTTGTTCGTCCAGACGAAAGGCTCATATCAAATTAAAACAAAAAAAATATGAGAACAAACTCACGAACTTAATAAAGAATACCTGGCAACATTGAATACATATTATTAAAACACATAATTGTGTATGTATAATTTTTGTTATACTATGTATTAGTGTTTTGTTATTATTATTTTTGTTTATTGTATCAATAAAATTGATTAGATTGTACTCTTCTACCCACTTATGTAAAGCTCTCCCTCTTTAAGAACGATTAGCTGGTTGATAATTCATATGTTGAGTTAAGCTCGCCATTTTATAACTTTTGGCAATTATTATATTGTATAAACTGTATGTACAATAAAAAATAAAGAAAGACATATTTATATATTAGGCCGTTAAGTGCCTTTAGTTCTATTTGTAACAAGGTCAGGGTACTGGGTGAGGAGTAAAGCGCCTGCGCGTGTAAAGGTCAGGGCCGAGTACCCTGGAAGATTTTGTCGAAGTTCGATGGCCCTGGTTCGTATTTCGGGGTTGTTGGAGGACGCGTAGGGACGCGTGACCTTAGCTAAGTGATGGCCGCGCTACGACACGTGTATTACAGCGTAGGCGAAACACCTCGGCTTAACCCTGCGATCTTATCTCTTTAATAAAATAGTAAACGAATTACTGTTTGCTGGTTACTGTACATACCATGTTACGTATGTATTCTTAATAATATTATTGTATAATAATATTATTAAGATTTGTAAATGGGTATTGACAACTTAGGAAAAATTATAATCCCTCAACTACTTTAAAAGGTTGGTCACTTAAAGATGAGGACAAATTTTGTCCTTCTTGAAATGCGTAACAAATGTAAAAGATTAGATGGATAGATAGATGTTTGATAGAAGACGGCTCAGTGGATGTTAATGAAATTTGGCACATTGGCTACTAAACGAGTTTTTTTTTAAATTTCAAGCGGATGGAGTCGCGAGCAACAGCTAGTGTGTTATACCTAAGTCAAAACAATCAATTAGCATGTAATGGAAGAACATGTATGAACAGATAATATGTAATTGAAGATAAGCTTGGAAAGATATAACACGATTGTGCTAAATAGAAAATATCTGCCGCTGAGAGTTAAAATATTGGTATTAAAATAATGGGAATGGTAAGCTGTCCTTCAAAGTATTAGAAATTTATTAGAAAAGAGATTTGGTGTCTGTAGAGTAGGAAGGGGTAGTTCATAATTTGCTCGCAGTTAAGGAAAGCGTTAGTATAAAGGCGCTACACGTAGTCCGATTATAAATTCACGTTGAAGTTACAATCGTTCGACAAAACATGTATTATTGAACCATTAGTTTGACTTTTCGACTTTAGCACAACAACAAATATTATTCAGTTTTTTAATTCAAACACTGTGCGTCTCGAAAAGGTTTTTTTTTAATATTTTTGACCAATTTACGACATAGAGCTTTGAAATATTCGTTACTTAAAATTTAGTGTTACTTTTGTACCATACAACCACAAAAAATCTAGATAGCTAAGATGCTAAAAGCCTTAATTTTACCCTAATCTACAATTAAATGATCGTTAAAAGCTAGGTTGCGAATACCAAACAAATTCGATTAAATTAATAAATAAAATAATTTAAATTAATGCAAATGATGAGATAGGTTGTTTTTGGCTAAGGATAGCGGACATGCTAATTTATCTTTGCGTCTATAAATAAAATTAAAATAAAAAACAAGATTTGAAAATATATAAGTATGTAAGTAGTTTACATAACGAAATAATTAACCTCGACCTCGGCTCGATACGACCCTGGGATTCTTCCCTCTAGTCTACTCTAGCTGTCATTAGGTCAAGGGAGTGTATTAATATAACAAAAATCAATACATTATGTATATGTATATGGTCTCGATTCATTGTTATTGAGTGCAAAGGGGTTGTTGGGGGTTGATTCAACACTTTTGTTTTGTAAACTGACCGACGCGACGTAGAAAATTTAATCTGTTTCTTATTAATTTAAATCACGATAATTTTCCATTGAAATAAATTTTGTAATCGAAATAGACAATTATATCGTGTTTGTGCATTTTTTTCGACAAAATGTTTTGTAAGTACCATATCTTTTATCAGTATAGGGTTCAAAAACATGGTAGCTAACAA